TTCAAGCGAAGTAGGTAGGGGTTTAAAAATAATATACTATCAAGTGATTCGATAATTCTCCACATTGGACCAGTAAGTAGTTTGTCAATAATACCTAATGCACGGACTTCAGCAATGAATACAAGATTTGTGATATCTTCCTTAATTGCTTTTAATAAATTATTAGGGTTAGGCCAAGCATTAAGAAATTCTGTTATAGAATCCTTATGATAGTATAGGGCAGCTGCATTGTAATACAAAATATTAAATCGATTTCCAATAAATGGAACAAAATAAGATTTATCGTTACGAGAGGAAAGAAAAGAAGTAAACCATGATGCAACACCAGCTTCCTCACTACCCCTTGAATGAAATGCCTTACATGTAGTACGAACTAACCGTACAGCACCACATTCTTTACCACTAAAAGCAAAAACAGTTTCAAAATCATTTTGAAGCAAAATTTTTTCAAAAGAATTTAAAACTTTATCAGTTTCAGAAGCAAAATTAGCGAGCAAATGAAGTTTACAGAAAAAATTACTCATGTCCTTCATATTGTCTTTGACGTTTGAGGAAAGAAAGTCCCAGTTACTAATTGCAATAGACAAAAGTTTTTCCCTTAATGTTTTTAACTGTGAGTCAAAAAGAGGATTAACCGAAGAAAGATCAGACATTGTTGATTTTATTGATGTTATTAGTTTAGCAAAATTAATTTCTTTTTCAGTGGCTGAGTTGCTAACAACGTCACAAATGTCATCTACTATATTAGTAAAGTTTTGCAAAACAGTTGCTGCATCTTTGCCAACCACTTATGACAGACCAAAAGATAAAGTTTTCCCACTAGTTTTTGTAATTTGAAAGTTTTGATAATGCTTATGGTATTTCTGAGTACCATCACCATGCAAACAATTGCCTATTTTAGAGTTTTTATTTATCAAATTATTTTCAAGCATTGCTTCTGCAACTTGAAATTGACCTAAAATTGAAGCTTCCTGCATTAACCTACATTTAAAGCGGCTGATGGCAGTCTAGATATGTTCTTTTTGGCTAGTTTGTTTAAAACTACTTTTATGACTTCATTGACACTATTCATACTCACGTTCATTGAAAGAAGTTTCATTATTGTTTCTCGAATGTCATCACTGTATCTGCCATCTTCAAATGTTATTACTTCGTCATCATCCAGCAAAGAAACCAATTTTTGAAGTTCTAGATTCTCCTCTTTTAAAATGTTTGTCTTACTATATAACGAAACAACTTCCTTCTCTAAACTTATAACATCTTTCATATTGTTGTCATTAATATAGTTGGTTTTATTTTGCAAAATAATTTTTAAATTACTTTTTTTTGCAGCTTTATTTTTTTGTTTTTTAATTCAAAAATGTTTATATCTGAGTTTTCAAGAATTGAATTAATATCTGTTATTTTATTTTTTAATTGCAATATTATTTTTTTTTCTTCATTTTTTAACGAATTTATTTTATTCTTTTTTATTTCCAGCTGAGTATCACGATATTTTATTTTTTTATTCAAATTTCTAACATTAAATGATTATTTTTTTGACTTTAATAGCTCTAATTTGTTTTCAATTTTATTAAGCTTTTATTCTTTTTCACAATAACACTTTTTAATAAAGTTTAATTCAGCTTCTATTAGAGAGTTTTTCGAAATAAGTATTTTTAGATTGTTTGACATATCTTCAAAATCTTTTTGATGTGTAAAATAATCCATTTGTAAATCCATCATAGATTCCATTTTCCTTTTTAAATTTTTTTTTTCTTTTTTAAGCATTTTGTTTTCGCTTATCAGTATTGTTTTTTTAGGAATTTCTGATGCACTCACTGTATTATCAGAAAAATTTGCCACAGGTGGAAAAAAGGCTTCACCTAATAACAATGCTAATTTTTTATTTTTTCGTTGTTTCTTTAATTTTCTGATGGTGTCAACTAATCTATTTATCTTTTTGGCTAAAGCTTTCTTGTAGCAGAACAGTTCAACTTTAAAATCCAAACAATATCTACAATATATTGCATCATAAGATGTATCTTTTAAAGCCAAATACCAATCATAAATACTTTCATTTATCATTTTATCTAAATAAATAAAGATTTTCCAGTCATCAATTTGAACAAATATATAAACATATAAATATATTACTTCAAAGTCTTTTACTTATTTTATATATATATATATATATATATATATATATATATATATATATATATATATATATATATATATATATATATATATACATATATATATATATATATATATATATATATATGTATATATATATATATATATATATATTATATATATATACATATATATATATATATATATATATATATATATATATATATATATATATATATATATATATATATTATATATTATATATATAAACTTAAAAATTAAGTAAATTGTATAAAAAGAAAATTGCTAAGTTACAAATTAGACTTACTAATAAACTGCTGAGATTCAATTACTAATTGGTTAGCAACAACCACATTAACAACACAAAACAAACTCACTTTAGAATACCTTAAGTTAAAATTTACAATAAAATCTCAGCTATATAAAATATAGAATTCAACGTGTGCAAAAATCTTTTCTCAAGTAAAAGAGAAACGGCAAATTTACCAAAAATATCTAAAGACGGGGAAAATTATAATAATCTTTACTTAGAAAACAAAAAACCCACCCTATTAGACTACAAAAAAAAAAAAAAAAAAGAACTTGTTCACTTAATAAATAAATAGTTGCAGAACTTATTTTTACGTGGGGACGAAAGAGTTATTTTAATTTACTTGCATTTTAACAAAACTGAAAGATTTAAAACTAAATAACTTTATCAATTCTAAACCAAAACGTCGTCCCCAAGCAAATTATTGTAGTACAACCTTTTCTAAAAAAAATAACATCTACATGTACGTATATAATATTTATTTTCATGGGTGGGTTTTTATTCTTCAAAACATTCATAAAATCATTTCTGGCGTTTTTATATTAACGATTTTTTTCCGCGATAAAATGTCACGTGACAAAACTCCCTAGTTTAAGAGACTATCGCATACTAACTGTTTTCTGAATGAATGTGTGCTGGCAAAAGATGACTACAGTTTTTCATCGAGTCATTGCACTGAAAAACATGTTGGATAAAAGGTAGTTATAGTAAAACATACATGTTACGTTTTAAAACCCTTTAAAATTTTAAAAACAGACTAGACTAAATTTTAAAAACAGAAGTAAAATCGTGCTTATAAAGAATATGCTTAAAGTTTATTAATCTTGATATTATTTAAATCAATGCTATAGAACGTTCGAAATGCAAAAGAATGTAGTACAATTTTAAAATACTATAATAATTTAAAAAAAAAAAAAAAATTGTAGTTTATTGATAACGTTTTTATCTAGTTTTTTTATGTTCATGCAATTTTTAAAATTGTTATTTTGTAACTAAATTGTTTCTGCTTGACTAAATGAAAAACTATTTAATTCAAATATAAATTACTAAATTACAGTATTTATATTATCTTATTAATCCGATTAACAAAGACTTTGAAGCGTAGGCAAATCGAGGATTTTTACCAACCGAAACTTACCGCATTAATTGTTAGCCTAACGTGAGTAGGGGAGAACCTTAATGAATGGGACAGTTTTCGTAAAATGCATTTTTTGAGGTTGATAAATTTGTTTAAAAATCACTTTGAAAATAGTTTGATAACTGTTAACTCTCGTACTATGATAAACAAAAACAAAAAAATTGATTCCGCATATGGGTATTGGTAAAAAGAGAGTTTAATAAGACCATGGCATTTGTCCCATTCATTAAGAACTACTCATTGAATGGGACAAATAAAATTATTGAATGGGACAAATCTAAAAAATTAATAAAAGAAGAGAGGTCCTAAGTAACTTTCAAGCCAGTCAAGCAGTAAGGGTAGTTTCTACCATTAGGGAACCCGAAAAAGCTATAAATATGGCCGAATGTCTGCATATATTGACAAACCTAAAATAGTTTTATTAAAAAATATATGTATATTAAAATTAAATTAAAAACACGAATAATTGTTTTTAGTAAAACAAAAAATTTTATTAAAAATAAAATTATGTGTGACCATAACTAAGTTGCCGAAATATATTTTTCTACTTTTTTCATACCAGGCTGTTTGGACAAGTCCCATTCAATAATCAATACTTTGTCCCATTCAATAGGCTTCCCACTATATCCACAAATGACAGGACAGGTTAAAAACAGTAATACCTAAACAAAAATACTTTACAAATTTAAAAAGTAGAGACATTTGGGTGTTGAAAATTGGAGTTTCATTTTCCTTAACTTTAGTAATCGCTGCAAAATCAGACACAGAAAATTGTTTTTAAAAATTACTTATTGTTCTTCAAAACACAATAACATCCAATGCCATTACGTTTAGACCATAATAGAAATAAAGATTTGGTCTGTTGAATGGTTGTGTCAAACACTTATTACCACAGGAGTTTGGATAGCCAACCGTAGATGCTTCTATGCAAATTTGATTTTGTCCCATTCAATAATTGTCTCATTCATTAAGGTTCTCCCCTACATCTATTTCCGTTACACTAACTCTACTGTAGTTAAAAAATCCATTAAAAAAAATCAAAAACAACACCTAATATTTAGCCTTAAAATTTACTACATAACTTTTTTTTTTACTTACAGACAGGAGTCAAAAGATGCTAATACCCCACAGACGGAGGCATCCTCCAGTCACAGTCAGAAAAATGCAGAAATCTGTACTAATCAAGAAAGTGAAATAAGTCAGCAAGATATTATTACCAGACAGTTAAGACAGTTAAACAAAGAGCCGTTGACTATAACTGGTGCACAAGTCTCAAAGTCAGATTCAGTAACCTCTACATCATACTGTAATGTCCGATGTTGCAATTCAAATATGACCTAGGCCTACCAACCAGACGATGAATGTATACTCAAAATGACAAAAAAACAAACTGGAAACAAAAAAGAGTTTAGAATGTTTCAAAAGTTATGCTACACTAAATGGTCGTGGTTAACACTCTGCGTAACAAGGTATAAATTATTTTGCTTCTATTGTCGATTTATTGAAAGTATCAACAAACTTGACTTAAGCAAAAGAAAGGAACCTGCCTTTTTGACAACAGGATTCGACAATTATAAGAAGGCAGTTACTAAATTTAATGAGCACGAACCAAGTGATTCCCAAAGGGAAGCCTTAGAAAAGTACCAGCTTATAAATCAAAAGGCAAAATCTGTAACAAGTCAACTTTTAAAGCAGATTAGACAAAGCCAGAATAAAAGACAACAAATGTTTTTAGTAGAACTATCGTCCTTAAAGTTTCTTCTGCGTCAAGGTCTTGCAATACGTGGTCATACAGAAAAAGAGGGCAACCTTAAACAATTGATGTTACTGAGATCTCAAGATGTAAAATGGCTACTCCATAGCAAAAACTACTTGTCCCCAATAATAGTAAATGAGTGTATAGAGCTTTTTGGCCGAGCGGTGATTTTAAAGTTGTTATCACATATCCAGAATTCAAAATACTTCGCCATTATAGGGGATGAATCCAGGGACATTTCAAACAAAGAGCAGCTATCAATTTGTATACGTTGGGTTGATGAAAATTGTGATGTGCACGAGGACTTCCTTGGTCTATATAAACTAGAACAATTAGATGCAGATTCTTTAACAAAAACTGTTAAAGATGTTTTACTCCGATTTTCATTAAGTCAAGAAAACTGCCGTGGCCAAGCCTATGATGGAGCAGCAAATATGACAGGACATTTACGTGGCCTAGCGGCTCAATTGAAAGAAAAAAGCAACGCAGCAATTTCTGTCCATTGCTTTGCACATTGTTTAAACTTGTGTTTGCAAGACTGTACCAGACAATGCACTTTGGTCCGGGACAGTCTTTCATTTGTATCTGAAGTTGCTAACATGATAAAGAATGCACCTAAAAAATTTACTGTCTTTGATAAAATCAGGCAGCAGATGTCGTTTGATAACAATGACGGAGGTCCCATTAAGAACTTGAAGCCATTGTGTCCTACTCGCTGGGCTGTTTGTTCTAGTGTCTTTGAAGCATTGTTAGAAAAAACGAATTACAAGTCTGTTATAAATGCAATGGCAGAAATTGGAGAATTGGTATCAGATGACTCTGGGTCCAAAGCGAGGGGAATATCGCAACAGCTTCAAAAATTTGAAATAAATTTTAGCATGAAAATGTGTTTTCTTTTTTTTAATGCAACAAAGCAGGCTTCAGGTACTTTGCAAACGAAAGCATTGTTCTTAACTGAAGCTTTGAAGTGTGTCACAGTCACCAAACAGTATTTGCAAAGATTAAGAGAAACATTGTTTAATCAGTTCTACAAGAAAGTAAAATCTGAAGCTGATGATTTGGAAGTAAGTGAGCCATCAATTCCACGGACTCGAAAACAACCGCGGTGGTTAAATTCTGGCTCAGGACCTCATATTTTCACAAATGTTTCTGATTATTTCAGACAAAAGTTTTATGTAGTTGACCTTTTGATTGGTGAACTTGACTTGAGGTTTCAGCAGCCATCTGTAAAAAACGCCATTAATATGGAAACGCTTTTATTGAACTCAGCAAACTTAGAGTCAGAAACTATCGAGATAGATCCATCACTGTCAAAAATGTACCGTGACATCGACTGGACAAGGTTAACATGGCAACTTCACATGCTACCTGAATTAATCAAACAGAGCAAAAGCAACAAAGTAAAGCCAATTACTAAAATAACAACCATCTCAACATTAGTTGAAATATTTGCCGAAAATGATGCATCTAAAATGTTTGACGAAGTGTCTAAAGTTCTAAGAGTCTTTTTTACTATACCGGTCAGTACAGCAACAGCAGAAAGATCATTTTCCAGCCTAAGGAGGCTAAAAACATATCTCCGTTCTACTATGAATCAAAAAAGATTAAACAGCACCATTCTGAGTCATATTCATAAAGATATTTTGGAAGAAGTTGGCATTAACACTGTTTATAAAGAATTTGTGCAGGCAAATGATGAGCGTCAACGATATTTTGGAAAACCAAAGAGTTTATTTCACGTATTACGAACTTAATAAATTATGTTATATTTAATGTATTACTTATATAATTATATTATTGTAATATTACTTATATAATTATATTAATGTAATAAACTAAGCACAAGATAATTAATCTTGTGCTTAGTTTATTACATTATTAATGTAAAACTGTCTTAACAATTATCAAAAGCTATTAAATATTTGTTGAAGGTAAAATATATAAATCAATAGGAGCGCCAAGAGTAATAACATTGTGTGTGATAAATAATTTAATAAAAAGATCATTTTTATCTATTTTGCTGTACCATACAAAATTGAGAAACTTTTTCCCTTTTAACATATAATTTCAGCCCCCCCCCCCAACTTTCACGACCTTCCTACGCCACTGTATACATATATATATATATATATATATATATATATATATATATATATATATATATATATATATATATATATATATATATATATATATATATATATATATATATATATATATATATATATATATATATATATATATATATATATATATATATATATACATATATATATATATATATAGATATACATATATATATATATATATATATATGTATATATATATATATATATATATATATATGTATATATATATATATATATGTATATATATATATATATATATATATATATATATATATATATATATATATATATATATATATATGTATGTATACAAATAGTATTGCGTACAAAGGTAGCAATCTGACGTCATACTGAAATAGCCTGCTGCTGGGGGCTTCAGTACATACATCGACTGACAAATGGCCTGACTCGCAGTGGAGTGCTGCTACATCGACTGAGGTTTTGGGATGGGGCAGCAATCGTTTTATTCATCATTCTTCGTTTTTTTTCTTCTTTTTCGAAAAAAACGGTACAACTTAAGGTAAGCAGAAAAAGTGAGCAAATGCTTATCTTCTGGTTGAATCTTTTCCTAGGCTTCTTTAATTGCCACTTTGAGGTTATCTTTTTTGGAAAATGGGATTAAGATCCGGTGATTGTGCGGGCCATTCCAAGGCCTCAACATTATTTTCAGCAAACCACTCCTTGGTTTTAGTGGCACTATGCTTGGGAGTGTTATCTTGCTGAAATGTAAAATCAGAACCTAGCCAAAGTTTTCGAGCAGATGACTTCAAATTTTGCTTTAAAATGTTTCTGTATTGCACCTGATCAATTATAGTATCAATAAATTGGAGTTTTCCGACACCCTTCCAAGCCATAGAACCCCATACCATCACGTTACCGCCACCATACTTGACAGTTCCTCTCACGCAGCTTAATTTATAGGCTTTTCCAACTTTTCTCCAAACTTTTTGGGCTCCATTAGATGACTTTAAGTTGAATTTTGATTTAACTTAAAGTCGCTCCACAGGATCTTTTTCCAGAAACAAAACGGCATGTTTTTGAACTTCTTAGCAAACTCCAATCTTCTTTTCATGTGTTTCTTACTCAAATATGGTTTATTATGCACAAGTCGTCCTTGAAATCCCTGGTCTCGGATACGATTTTTGATTGTCTCATTGGAATAATTTGATTCCATAATTCTCTTCAACTTGCTCAGCCAGTTTTTGACAGGAAATGAAGCAATTTTTCTTGACTTGTATAATTAAGTTTCTATCAAAACTCTTAGAAGTCTTTTTTTTGCGACCCTGTCCTTCTTTTGTGGCTGTTGTTCCAATCAAATTATACTTCTTAATTATGTGGGATACTGTATTATGAGGAAATCTAGTCTCTTGCTGCACCTGACGATTGGTTTTACCCTAATTAACTAGATCGACAGCTAAATTTCTCTGGGAAACAGTCCAGTGACGTTTACCTCTTACCATTTTACTTAAAAAAACATGAAACCTTTTTTTTATTCAAAACTTTTTTTTTTACTACAAAAAAACAGTTTTTTGTTATGCAATTTCATTAATTGTATAAAAATTTGCTAAAATATTTCAACAAATTTCACATAAAGTTAATTAAACTTACCTAAATATCGCTAAACATTCAGTATTATTATTAAAGCCTTTATCATACATTATACAAGAGTATTTTGGAATGTAATCTAAATAGTTGTTGTGATTTGTAATTTCTTTATCTGAAATTTAGTCTCTGTAAGCTTTAAAAATTATTTAAAGAAATTATTAATGAACTTGGAGCTACAGATACTAATGTTTTTATATTGTTGTGATGTTTGTATTCACTCCATGTTAGTTTCTGTAAGTCCAAATTTTTAAGTGTTTTAATATAAAACTCTGTTATATCTGAAATTTAGCGCAAGTCAGAATAATTTAAGTTCTTAAATCTGTTTGGCATTGTCTATCTTATAACATCTTCACCAGGAACAAAATTCATGTGCTTATAAAGTGAGCTAGAATCTTTCACCCATGTAGAAAATATTGCACCGGCTAATCCTAAAAATATATTAAACCTGTCAGCAAGATCAGTTGTTAGTAATCCAAGTCTTAGCATCATTAAAAATTCAACTTTGCTGCATAACTTTTATTTTGGTCCAAAAAATTTAGGATTTTTTTAAATTTCAAAAAACAGCAGTAAATGTTTTTTTAACATCACTTTATCTTCTTTTGATTAATGGTGATACTGCACTATGTAACTTATGAAACACACTGACAGATGTAAAGCCAGTATAAATGTCTATCATTTTTAAAATAAGCGTTTCTATACAAGTAAATTGCAATAACACGATTTGTTTGGATTTTGTTTATATACAAACTTTGTGTGGTTTCATCGTAATAACTGATGTGGTTGAAGTTAACTTTTCATATAAATCTTTATTTTTTCTCAAATTTTGTGCTGAAGTTCTTTTTTTAAGTTATCAATTTCCTTTTTTAATTCTCGATGCTTTATTATAAAACAACGCTTAACATTAAATTCATGAATCATTGTTTGAAAATTTTGTATCGTTTACATTTATTAATATTAGTCTTTGAGCATTGTAGCCTAAGTTTAACGAAGAATATCGATTTAAAACGATAGTGCTCTGTCAGCAAAATCTCATTTGATATTTTATGGCAAATAATTTACTATGACGCGTTAATGTAGGAGTTGAACAGTTAATTAGTTTTCTCCGTTTTTCTTTGAGCTGTGGTTATTTATATGTTGTTATATATCTGTGTGTGTGTGTGTGTGTGTGTGTGTGTGTGTGTGTGTGTGTGTGTGTGTGTGTGTGTGTGTGTTAATAATAGATAACAAATGCTTACTGATTTGGTGGTTTTCAGTTTGCAAGTTAGAGCTTCGTTTAATATTTTACATCATACATAAATCATCTTTCCACATTTTTCGATTGTACTAGTTATTTTTACAATTAATGACACCGCATGTTTTTGAACCCTTGAAACTTCTATATGGTATAGGTTTAGTATTTAGATTTTTTTCAAATATAAACCTCTATAGTTTAAAGTGTTGAAATAAAGTTTACGTTTTTACTTCCATTTCTCCGCGCGCATAAATTTTATATTGGAACTGTGAAAATGTGTGACCAAATGGCTACACTCTTCCAGCCCACACACTTCAATGGTACAAGTCAGCTCAAACTAAGGAAAAATTTTTTTCAAACCATCCTTACTTGACATAAGTTTAAACATATAATTGTTTGGAGCTTGCTTTGTGTCCGGAGACTAGCTCAAAGACCATAAAATGCTCGATCCACCTCTGATCTATACATATTTTGACCCTATCAATCTATTATTGACTTGTTAACCGCTGTAACAAAAACAGGTTCTGTCGTACATTAGATGAAATCTAACTCGTATTAACCATTTTCTTTTACTGATTTTATTTGATCTCTATAAATATTATATTCGTCCTGGTTTTGAAAAGTGTTGTAATATTTTTTAATTTTCTGTTAACTCCAAATGTAATTAGTGTTTTTCAGCCTTGAAGGAGTTTAATTAAAAAAAAAAACTTAACAAGAAAATTGAATAATAAAAACCTTGTGTTCAACATATATGCTTTGCTGATAACCGCATAGCATATATGCCATTTGAATGTTAATCAGCTTTACGTCGTAGCTAGAGGCTTGGACTAAATAAAAGGTAGTACGAACATTTTCATCCAGTGTTTTTTACCAAGTTTTGATAAAAATGCAAAAAATAAATTTATTCTTTTTGTAAAACTTTTTAATTTATTTTTGTAAGTTAATAATTTAAAGTATAAAGCTGAGAAATATTATTTAAAAATATATAGTTATTTTGCTTTATTTAAAAGGTTTTCCCTTTTCAAATACTCAGCCGCTATTGGTTACAAAAAATTCAAATCAACGCACAGTGGGCCAGTAGGTGGACAAAATGAGAAAAAATTTATTTGTCTAATCTTGAAAACTTATTTAATTTTAGTATCTATATATATTAGTATCTATATATATTATATATATATATATATATATATATATATATATATATATATATATATATATATATATATACATATATATATATATATATATATATATATATATATATATATATATATATATATATATATATATATATATATATATATATATATATATATATATATATATATATATATATATATATATATATATATATATATATATATATATATATATATATATATATATATATATATATATATATATATATATATATATATATATATATATATGTATATATATATATATACATATTTAGTATCTATATATATATTAGGTGAAATTTATTGATAATTTATTTATATTAAGTCCCTTTGTTACCAGGACTCTAAGCATTTGAATATTGAAATTAAAAAACAAAAAGAAAAAAAATTTAAATAAGAAATTTACTGTGACATTAACGCTGTGTTATATTTCAATTACATCTATGTTTTTGAAACAAATAGTTAGTACATGTTATTCTAGAATATTTAGAGATAAGAAAAACCAATGTGTGAAATAAATATGTCATGCATATTATCTCAGTTATACTTTAAAAATCGCAGATTAAAAAAATAATCTTTATGAAATTTAGTTTTTGCCGCGCTATAAC